GTGTTTTTCTTTAACTTCGACGCTTGTAACTCTCCTCGATGCTTTTAGACGAAAGTGTTTTTCTCTTCTCTCTCTTCCAGCCTTTGACGTTTATACGCACAAACACATGCTTACCTACACACGGGCGCGCGCCATACCACGTTCGACGTGGTTGCGGAAATGTTGCTTCTATATCTGGACTAGTACAGCTTCGAAACGATGGCAAAATCGGATATATATTTTCGTCGAGTCACGGCACGCGCCCGTGTGCGCGGCTAATTCGTTTCGCGTGTGGCATAGAATTTGCACGCGTCGTTAATACGAGCTAGTTGATAAGGGACAGGCGACGGGCGGATTTAATTTATTTTTATCACGACAGACGTGGCTATCGAATTAAAATCGTTATTTTAACAAATGTACATGGTTTTTTGTTGACTTTTCAATTTTATTTAAAAAAATATATGCCGAAGAGCAGAATGTATTTCATATAGCATAAGAAAAGCTACATGGATTCAAAAGTGCTGACGAGCTTCTTAACTAACGAAAATAATTTTATGAGTACTTCCTGAATTGTAACGCGATAGTTTTTATAATTTCTTCGAAAAGAAAAGTATCGCTTCAATAAATACACTCAACCGAGTAATAATCGGCGAGTCGTTTTATTTTAATGATCTCAAGAAGTATACGATAAGTACGATCATTTAGTTTATGTGAATCGTGCGAATAAAAAAAAATATTACTCATAAAAATGGAGAGGAATTGTTTAAAATGACTCGTACGAAAATGACTTTATCTTCATGAACAAGACATTATCTTTTGTTTCTCCGCACTACGCCCCTTTCTATTACAGAGTCGTCGAAATGGGACCTCACCTTTCTTTATAATTATATACGTATGCATTTTCAAATACATCTCCAGTCAGCTTGCGCATGTTTGCCATAGTCATTGCCGCACGGCTTCATATATATTCATAACCCACACCACTGGCACGTATTTTTTTTTGTATTAGTTTCTCACTCTCGGCCTCTTATCTCTGCATTCATCTCTCGTTCGCTTCTCATTATTTAGCACACAAACTGCGAACCCTATGGCTCTATTGACCGCTAATTGAAAGTCGCATTCTTTTGCACTCGCTCTTTCTCTCTCTCTCTCTCGTCTTCCCGTCGACGCACTTCTTGCCTCGGCTACCGGAATGGAATTGTTACAAATGGAGAAAAAAAAGTATATAGATTCAAGCTACAAGCTTAGTAGATACCAATTTTGCTAAGGTCGGTAGAGATCAGAGCAACGATGAGTTTTCATCGATCCTCGCACCTTATATATATTCCTGAAAGAAATCGGCGCTCGCAGCGGGACGTCATTTTTTCTCGAATTCCTCCTTGGTCAAAATTAGCCTGTATCTCTCCCTCTCTCTCGTGTCTTTCACGAGTGCGAGCGAGCGGCGAGTCAGTGCACCCACCTGCACCACCGCCATAGCTGCAGAGTCCTACCACCGGTATGTGTGTGTGCGCCGCGCTCACGCGTCCGTGGGAAGTTTTTCGAAGAATAGACGCGCGACTCGTTCGCGATTATACTTTTTTTGCGAACCGATGTTTCATAAAAGAAATGCACTTTGCATAAATTCGTCTACATATTGATGCGAGCACAGCGAGGCGTCGGTTCGAGTAGATATGTTTATTATTAAATTAGTTAACAGAAATGTTTACGATTAATTATTTATATCTCCCAGTGCTCAATATTTCATTTGATTTTATTAACACTTTTTTAGACCTTTGCAGGTCGCCTCTCTTACCCTAAGAATACTATCTCTTGTGTCAGAACGATTAACTCGTCATCTCCAGGTATCTATCGCGGACTGTCAAGGACCACAACATTCCGAATCCGTATCGTCAATATGAACAGCAATCTCGCTTCGTATAGCACGTGAGTATCACCTTAAGCAGCTGATCATGCAACTAGGACGAAAGGTGTCAAACTTTGCAGCGGGCATAAGAACGATATTCGGTGCGCCGCCCTCAGTCCCTTCAGGCGAGACATCCACGAGGAAATGCAGGAACGCGAGATCGCATCCTGTGGTCTTGTCTCCTTGCTGCCTCGCTCCGTTGTAATAAGAGTGCAGGCTTTGGCGCTTCGTTAGGAAAAAAAGAAAAAAAATGAGGCAAGAGACCGGAGGTTCGATATTGTGCTACGATAAGAAAGCTCTTGCGCGGCAAGACAAGACACTCGAAAAACTTGTTCCAACAATGACAGAGTAAACGAGTCGGGACCACCAGCGTAAAATAAAAATTAAGTTTTGGAGATATAACGAAACGAGCCCGATGACAGCACTAGACGTGAAGCTAAATTTGTAAACTAACGCCGGCAATATTTTAGTTCAATTTGTCCAGCTAACTCTTCTGCCAAGTGTATATCTACCTCACTCGAGAACATTAGTTAAAAAATTACTTTATCATTGATTGCCCGTACGATACATGTGGCTATTGAAAACGATACTTGCGAGTGAGTGAGAAAGAGATGATCTTTGGCAAAGAGTTGCCGCGAATGTGACTTTTACGATGAGTATCAAATTTCCTAGCTTGCGCGCGGCGAAACCTGCGTGGATAATATAATTTGTGAGCGGTACATTCGCATTAACACGTTAACAGCGCAGAGGATTGCCTCTTGAAATGGCATGTCATTAAGTAATTATTGCTTACGCCGCGCGGTATATCTCCGATCACGCGCGCGGGCACGTGCAAAAATAGAAGATCCCCGTCGGCTATATTATTTTCCAACGAAATTATCGCGAATAAGCGAGAAAAAATCAGCTTGGCGCGCGTAAGTCGAGGTGCAGTCTACGATCGTATCGATGCTGCGCGAGCGAGCTCTTCATATGCGCGCGGTAGATTTTTACACGTTACACGTGCTGCTGTATATATAGTATACACATCGGCAAAAGAAAAAAAACTCGTGAGAAAAAGGTCTGCATCTTTCGTATGTATTATAATACAGGCTACACGCGCTCGAAAGGCTGATACGCTTAAAGCTTTTACCGTAAGAACAAAGTACTTGGAGCGCGCGCGTGCCATTAGCTCATTTTCTCAAGTACTGTGCTAACAGTTAGCAAAATCTTTAAATCTTTCTCGAGATAGCAGGAAAAAAAAGAAGTAGCAGACTCAGAGAGAAGTGCGTGAGTATGTGTGTAGAGACAATTTTGGAGAAAAAGAGCGAGAGAGGGGATATTCTCTCTTCTCGGTCAACTGCACCGTTGCGAGAACGATCTTTTCAAAACTCTATACGAGCATTGCGAAAAAAGCTACCACTTCGCAAGTTTGCACCTTTTGGGTCCTTGAATTCGTATGAGAAACCAGATAGGTCGAGAGATCTATCTCTCGATAAAAAGTAAGCACATCGAGGTGTTTCCAATTTCTTTACGCGTTAACAGTAAATCATTTCACAAGAGTAAGTCTGAAATTTTTGGTATATTACCGACGAAATAACATTATGATATTTACTATCTTGCACAAGATGTATTACTTCGAAAGTTGCATACATAGGAAAAGCAAGTAACTCGTGAAGATGAAACTTCTCTTACGGGGCAGATTTACTATGATAAAAAATAACCATGCACCATAGACCTTTCATTATTAGAAATTTATTTGAGACTCGTAACAGATATTACACTCTATGATATGAATTCCCTGAAGCTTATGAAGACTCTCGAGATTATGGACCCGAGCTAAAGGCGAAAGTTGCATCAACAGACCCATCGCACTTGTTGCATAAGATATCATTAATCAAGTGTCTGTAGTAATGATTGTAAAATTATTTGCCGCTACAAATTTGATGTATTAGGCTCTACATAAAATCAATTCAATTTGTGCTGATTTGTTCTCTAATGAAAATAAAGTTGGTTTTTGAATTTTCAGAAAATTTTGTTTTTTCAGAATTAAATGTTTTGACGGGGTCTGATGTAGTTTTGTCTAACTAAAGTTGTGTAACTTTATCCAATGCTTTCAGTATTGAACGCAGATCGTCAGGTCGAGTAATTTAGTAAGTTCCGTTCCAATCTTACCTACAAATCGATTGCTTCGACGCGCGCATATGCCGATGCTTCCAACCACGTAGTTTTCCGATCAGTTGAACAAGGCAAACATGCTTTTAGAAAAAGGTATATAAACGCACACACAGATAAAGTGTGACAGAATTCGCGCGACTATATGTTCTTAATACTAGTGGACGCACAGTTACATGTCATTTCATGTTTCTGCAAGAGTGAATTCGTCTTTATGGACAGTGTCCACCGGTATAATTTGCCGTTATATTCCAGCGGTTATAGAATAAATTCGTAGAACGGAAGTATGCATACATAACACTAGTATAAATTAGGGTACATACATGTTATCATGAAAAAAATGACTGAATTAAATGGTTCGAAAATATTCCTATTTTTATTGACTCGTAATTTGAAACAAGAATTATCTCGAAAGGATTTTAAAGATAACAGAAATACCTAGATGAACTCATCGTTACTTAAATTAAAGTCACGAATCATGTTTTCTTTTTTTATAAATTACGGTGAGCAGATAACATACACCAGATGAAGTTTGATTATCACTGAAGTATAATACTGAAACATACATGATCCTTGCAGGATAATTCAAGTGTCACGCTCCAGACGGTATGGTCGACATGATATTGAATGTCGTCCCGGCGGGTTGCGGTTAGTGCGGTGTGCGCTTATTTTTACAAATGTCAAATTTATTCTTAGCTATACGCGCGAGTTTCATGTAGTCTGCGTACTTTTCCATCCCGAGATGGGATTACTTTATATTGGCGCGTGCGTTTCCACAAGCTCATACGCACACAATAAAAGTTCGAGGCTGGCTCGGGGCCAGCATCATCTCGCAGCGATGGACGAGCGATCGATAAACTACATGGGTGGCGCGCAGACACCCGATCGGCTCTTGACTCGATTCCAAAAATCGTGTTCGTACATTATAAGTAATGCTCTAAATTAAATATCATATATATGTACTCACCGATTCGCTAAATACGACGGCTTGACGAGCTTAACGGCGAAGAGGAACTGAATGGCGCAAATGAGCAGACAGCAGAGATTGAGCAGCAGCGCCAGCGCGCACAGGACGATCGTGACGTCGTAGACGACGTGAAACTCCTCGGGCGATATGAGACTGTTGGGCACGAAAGTGACCCCGGACATGCGTATGAGAAAGCTCAGGCTGAGCATGGCCAGGAGCAGCGAGACGAGGCACATGAGGCCGAGACTCGTCATGGTCTCCTTGACGCCGGCCTGGACGCTCGGCTTGTGCTTGACGTGGGACAGCGACGAGGACGACCAGGAGACGTTGAGCGGCAGTATGCTCGGGCCCGAGGAGGCCGCCGAGGTCGTGGCGCTCGGCTGACTCGAGCCCGACTGCTGCTGCGTCGCCGTCTGCGTTTGTTGCTGGTTCTGGTGGTGCTGATGCTGCTGCTGCTGCTGATGGTGCACCGATGGCTGCGAGAGCCGGGAAATGTCGAGGCCGCCGTTGGCCTTGGCGCCGTTGAGGGTCTGCTGATGATGCAGCTGCTGGGCGTGCTGCAGGGTCAGGTTCGGTCCGCGCGCCGCTCCACCCGAGAGATTCACCACGGGACTGGCGCTGTTGACCGAGTGCTTGGACGCCGACAGCATCGACAGGTTCAGATTGCCGTGATGGCTCGAGTTGGCCAGCCTCTGCGCGAGATTGTTCACGCTCAGCTGCGAGTGATTGAGGGGGTGATGCCTGTTGTAGTGATGGGGCGGCAAGCGATGACCATTGGGTCCCTGCGTCGGGCCGTCGTAGCAGTCAACGCTGCTCTGGGCTCGGATCGACGAGCGCAATGCCATTCCCGGGGCCCCGTGCGAGTGCTGTTGCTGCTGCTGCTGCTGTTGATGATGCTGTTGCTGCTGTTGATGGGAGTGATAGATGTCCCGTTGCAGGGACGCCGCCGCCTGAGCTCCTCCTCCGTTGGGACCGCCGCCGGCCCCGTTGCCGTAATCATTGTGACTGTGGGCCAACTGGTGATGATGGTGGTGGTGATGGTGCAGCCTTGAGGCGGCGGCGCTCGACGACGGTTGACCCGTCAGTATGTGCTTCAGCATAATATAGAGCTATAGCCTCGACAAGGAATTAGCGTAGATCCGCGGAATCTGTGTATGGAGATCGACCCACGTGATTCCTCCCATGCGGATCGACTATTTGCTAATAAGATTACTCTGACTATTACTACTAGTGGTGAGGTGGTCGCTTCTTGAGCCACTCTCGTCGTCGAACATGACTTGCTTTGGTCTGAATTTGTATTGAGAGAACGAAGCTTATCGTACGCCGATGCCGTTGATTAAATTAAACATAAGTATCTATCTGCTTCGCGAGTCGATTAGGGAGGCCTTCGCTGCGGACGTAGTCTCGAGATCACCCTTCCTTGGCTGCCGAAGTGGTGCGGCCTAGTGCTAGGCATCGCTGGTAAACGATCGCTCGCTTATCTGTAACAAAGAGCCAAAAAAAGGTGGCGGGTTAATTGTTGCGTACAAATGGAGACACTCGAGACTTTGCTTGATCAATATATCCTGTTATTTCAGAGACGAGAGCTTTTTAGGTAAAAAAAAAATGAGAACGTCGAAGACGTCGTTCGGAAATCGATTTATTACATACGGAAATAGCCAAGCTATAGATACTGTATCGTTAGATGACGACAGCGCTTTTGGAATTTTGAAAAGTATTCGCCACTTTTTTCGTAAATATGTGGCTGAATCGCGAACCTAATTCACTCAAAAAAAGTCTACGCATAATAAATATCGTCTCGTTTATGGAGCGACTCCTTTTTTTGCACACAATACGGTAGCGTATCAAACACTCGGGCAAACTTACGTATACGTATAACGCCGTGAAATAGAGAAAGCTTGAAATAGAATATTCAAAGCGATATAAGAGTTTCTTCAAGTGTATGCTCGCGTGAGTTTGTGTATGTGGGGTCATACGAGAGCGTAAAAACATCCGACACTCCGAGACGCGGCGAGAGTGAAATCAGCCAAGTTTGACGAATCCTATGGCGTATAGCGAGAGAGAAAGAAGAAGGAAATTTACTAAACGCGCGCGTGTGTACGCTCGAGTCTGCGTAACGCACGTGTGCGCATTATTATATGGTAAATATTTTTGCAGTTTTGATACGCGTTACAGCTTATACGAGCTTATCACAAATAAAGAGCATAGTGCAGGCGGAGTGAGATACGATTTTATTACTCGAAGCGCACGCAAACTCGCGATTAATTGACTTTTGAAAAATCAAAAACAACAACAGCAGCAGCAACAGCGCATGATCACGTGGGGGGAGTATAAAGATTGATCGTCTGCAGCAGCAGCTATGAGCATATAAATTAAGAATCACACGGAAAAATGCTACACAAAGTTCAAACGGTCTGCGAGCAGAAATGGCCGTGTTACCGATTAAATATTCATTTTTCTTGCTGGCCATTGTGCTACTGTGCGAAATAGTTCAAATGTCGTTTGCTATGGTACGTCACACATACAGCATCGTGATATATCAGTTCTAACGAGTGGACTTTTTGGCCTCTTTAATGTTAACCTAAATACTGTGTAATTTTTCTTTGCAGGAAGCCTCGAACAACGAGCGAGTGGACTGTGGTTACGCGTGTTTGAGAAGGAAAATATTCAAGAGAGATGTCAACCCTCCACCTGGGCCACCCTACTGCAAAGATAAATATCATCAATACGATAATATCACCGGTGAATGCTATTACGTAGCGTGGGCCGACAAGCGCAATAAAAAAAATTAATATCGTGGGAGCATGATTGTTCATAATTGTTTTCGAAAACTATTATCGAGTGTTGTTGGCGTTACGTACAGATGTATACCAGTGAGTGCAAACAAGTGTGTGTTTTTATATATTGTATTGTATTGTACGCTCATGGAAATACAAGAGTGAAAATAAAAATAAAAAGAACCAGAGCACATACACATAAATACATAGCATATCGACTGTCCTCGTCGAGTAAGCGAACTACTTGTCTTTGCGCACGCGTCTGCTTACAGCTCGAGAGCGCAAGAACGAGTTCTTCGGTCGGAGAGATCGCATTCCGACTGCGGCAAAGTAAATATCGTATACATACAAGCGAATCGATTGATCGCGATCGTCTTGGCGCTTCGCGAGACGCGCGCGCATATTAACGCGCTAATGATTTACAAATCGGTCGAACGGTAATGAGCCTCGCGAGTCGTGTGTATATATAATACTTTGAATTTGAATTAGCCTCGCATAGCCAGATGAATGGAATTCCCAAGTTAAACGAGATGTGTATAATGCAATGCTGCCAAAGCTCGAGGTATACGTATTATAAAAGCTCGCAGTAGTCGATCGTGATAAGAATACTAATTGTTACACGAGCCGTACGCGGTGTACGTGTGCGTGTTCATGTGTGTTATAAGCCGTTCGATACTCGGCGATGCAATTGCTGCTCCGAGCTCCGCGAGCTCTATGGCGACTTATACACACCGGGGCTCTATGTACAACGCACATACGGTTCGCTCGCAATTCATAACTAGGCCAACGACAGCTTTGCACATTCGATTGTTTCGCTTTCTGTATTACGTCATGAGGCGATACACACGCGTACGCGTATAATAGTCCCGCGAGGCGTACAGCAGCAGCAGGCCGAGTGTGAACCAGTTGTATGCACACAGGCTCTAGTCTGAAAAATTGCCCAAGTGTCATTCATCCCTCCGGGCGCGCGCACAATCGTCGCGTATCTGGGCCAGAACGAATACGTATATGAAAGAGTGCGGCGCGGCGTACGCGCGAGCGACCGAGAAGCTTTTCTCAAAAGCTGCAAGCTCGAATTTCTTTTCTTTTCTTCGCCTCGACGTCCGTTGTATACGGACGGGAGAATACAACGGGAAAAAAAGTCGAGTGTCTTTCTCTCTTTCTCTCTCTCCTCGTGTCTGCATGCAGCTCGAGCTCGTCCATTGTATTCCGCGGGTGCACACACACTGCGTCTCTGTGTGTGTAATTCGTGTATATATCTATACCTATGCAGCGAAACGCACACAGGAAAGGGCTATATAGAAAAGGAGATTAAATAGTAACGCGTGGCTGAGCTCGCTCGCGCGCGCACCGCATGCAATGCATCGCGAACGTATACAAACACACAGAGCTCGCGCGTTCTACACATACAAGTTAGATCGGATTTCAATCCGTATAAGTATAAAAAAAAACGGCAGCAGCTTTTATTCGCGCTACACATAATAATAGCTCGAGTTGGCTTGGCTACACGGCTGGTGTTTGGACGCGCGCACGCAAGAGAAAGAGAGAATGAACGCGTCCAGTGCGGAGCGAGTTCGACGCATCGAGCCACCAACCATATATATCCAACTTTTATCGTTATAAAACCGAGCGTATAAGTGTATGATGCTAACGATCTATGCTTCGGATAACTCGTCCTGTGGCAGCAAATGGAAAAACGTGTGTGTATGCGTCCATCATATGAATGTGTTCGTATACGAGTACGCGAGAAAGGAAATCGCTCCAGAGCTTCGAGCTCCTGACCATTGCTGCTACTACTTTTGCTGCTGCTGCTGCTATGCAAGCGTCATTTAAATGACCTGCATGACTCGTCGCACCGGCTGTGCTCGTTCGGTTGTTGCAAAAGTTGACGAGTAAGGAGAATAAATTGCGAGTCCTCTGACGTTCCCTTTGTGTACATATACATCTTTTATATATACAGCGCATTATATATCTATAAAGCGTGAGAATAATTTCGTCCGCGCGTGATCCACGTGCGATGCGACTTTAATTTCGGCGGGTAAGCTTTCGAGCGCACTTCCTACATCGAGCATCGTAGAGGCGAATCCCGACGAGGAACAACTGCTGCACGATTGAATAATTGGCCGCGTAGTGTACACGCGCGGCTTGAACTGTCTGAGCTTGGGATTGTGCACACGATGCGCTATGTGTACTAACATACATAAACACATACGCGCGCGCGCGGCCATAAGAAGAAAAACCACAGGCGTACGTGAATTTAAGGTTTCTTCTCTCTCTCTCTCTCTATTTTTCTCTTTCTTTCTCTCAGCGCGCAGCTCGTTCTCGCGAAGTCTTACAGATACCGAGTGATATCGCTCGTATTATACATGTATGTGTACGCGAAACTACGCGGAGCGCGCGGCGGCAGGAACGAAAGCAGCAGTTTATCCAATTACGATATGTGCATATGCACGCGCTGCGCGAGTTGCAGCACTACGCACGCGGAACATAAACCTCGGAGGTGGGTAGTAACGTGTAGTAATAGCAAAGCAGCTTCCGCTCGGCCGCGCGCCCATACTTCCTCGAACCTATTAAACGAATAGGAGCCGCAGAAAAGGAGCGGGTTGTGCTTGCGCGAGCACACGTGCCTTGTAATAAGCACAGATATTTGTATACCGGAGCAGCAGGGATGGTTGAAACTCGCTGGAGGTGGCGAGTGCGCACTACATGCACTGCGTGTGATACCCGCGAGCGCCTTGGCAAGGGTCAACAGACTCTCATGATGTAAATACACGTACACACAAGTGCTCGGCCGTCTCTCTTTCTTTTTCGCTACATTGGCCTGGAACTATACGAAAGCTTTTTCTCCGTTTCGCTCGATTCAAAGTCACGACGACGACGACGACGACGACGACGACACGATGACACCGTATCACGTATACAGAGTGTGTGAACTTTTGTAAGCCTTGAAATTTTCATAGGCTACGTAGCCCGAGGCCACGAAGACGCCCCCGCGCGCGCGCAAAGCTCTACCTTCGCGTCTTTCATGGCACAATATCAGCGCGCGACAAAGTCCCAGTGGCAATAGCAGCAGCAGCAACCTCGGCGCAGGCTGAAGCCGCGTCCAATAAAGTGTGTCGCCGCGTCTTAGCGTACATTAGAAGTATATACGTGTATAAATGCCACACAGAAAGAATGAATGGCATGAGGTAAAATGCAACTATTATACTTATAAACTGCCTCTTTGTAACGGGTCTTTTACTTTTATAGCTGTGAAAACTTATTGTCAAAAGCGACGATCTAAGTATCTGCGAGCTGGCGCGCGAACGGCGATGAGGCAAGACACGCACGTGCATATACGCGCGGGGACACACGCGTTCCTATGTATGTATATGCTACTACACATGAAAGAAAGAAGAGACACAGAGCTCGTATGTGCGGTGATACGGGGTGGGAGGGAGGCAGGCGGGCGGACGGGCGGGAAAGGGAAGGGAAAAACGAGAAGTGTAAAAAAGAGTCAGCAAGACTACACGCCGCAGGTGCATCTGCCTCATTAGTATGCGAGAACACCTCTTATATAGGTATATACGTACTCGCGGAGTCTCTTCGGCTCCGCTGCGCGTACTTTAATAAAAGCAGAGCTGGCAGATCGCTCCGATCGCTCATGAAGCGTCATCGCTCGCTCGCTCGGTTCGCTTCGCGACCATAATATAATACTAAACTGT